TTCACCGACCCAAAAATTCCATGACATGTCCAAGGCTTTAAAAACAGCATATATTCAACATGAATTAAAATCCATACATACGGGCCACAATAGTCGGATTCGAAACACCTGCAAAAACATATTGCAATTTCTAATATACTATGTCGTTGCGTCCGTACGCACATAATTCATGTAGACAGGTAAAGTCTAATATTCAAACTGTGCACGAGTTTGCATTAAGCCTGGGCTCTGATACCAGTTGTTGGGTTCTATTAGGAACTTCAAACAACATGCACAGTATTGAACTTTATCGAAATAAATCCCAACGCAGCGGAATCTATAGTTAGGATATGGACGTTTACCTTTTCAAATTTTTACCGACTCTTAGACGATGTAGAGTACCGTTGATGAAGTTCGTCTTAACACCACAACCTAGTGGGCGGATAGGTTTAACCTTTAGTAGATTCTAATCAACTCGTCAAACAATCCTCGGTTGAACGGTGCGCGGGTCTCGGTCGTCAGGTGCAGCGGGCAGCTCGTGCGCGTCAGGCACGGACAACGTGCGTGTACGCGGGTCGCGAGCACGGTCGCAGACTGCTGGGGTGATGCGGTCGAGTGCTGGCAGGATGCGTGCCGCGGACGTGCAGGATCAGGGTACGCGGACGGGCTCTGGCAGCCTCGGGCGTGTGCATGCACGCGGTGCGCTTCTCCTATGCAAATGCGGACTAGCGCTGGGCGTCTGGGAACACGTGGCGTGCTGAGCACGTTTCCTGGGCGTCCGCGGGATGGTGCGCGTGTACTCCTAGCGCGCTGGGGATGCGCGAACGGCGACTGGCGTGATGTGCGGGTGAACGACAACGAGCAGGTGCGGCTGGGACCTCACAGGCGTTGCTCGCGGACGCTGCTGGGAGTTGGCGTCTGGCCTGGCTGGTGCGCGACGGCGTGCAACGACTCGCGGTTGCGATCGGCTAAGCTCGGCTGACTTCCGGCAGCGGTTGGGGATTTCCGGTGACTCCTCACGGTGGCGATGGGCGGTGGTGATGATGTGATGAAGATGACCGGAATTTATGTCTTTTAGAAAGCTCAATTAATTGTATCAAAAAGCCTTCTAATGGATGACCTAAACACCTATTCCGATTAAACTTGGTGGAGCGTTTAATTGAATCTCCCTAACTCTCAAACGATGTAATTCTCTCGTGTATGTAGATGAGAAAATCGGCCAACACAACATTGTAGGAGAGATTGGGACATGGTGTATTTATAGGCTCCCTTAGGGACCTTAAAGAGGTGCTAAATATGGGCTTATTCCATTAGGCCTAGGAATCCTAATTCTACTCCAATACTAATTTAATGTAGGAAGGAAATCTCCTACTAATCCTCTCCTTCTAGAAGACTCCTAAGTCTCCTAACAATAGAGAAGATCCTTGTAGGAATATCTTTCTTAATTAAACTAATAATCATGGAATAAAATTAATTCCTAATTTAGGAAGCCTAATTTTACTCCAATTAATAATATAATGTAGGAAATATATTTTCCACTAATCTTCATCTTCTAGAAGACTCCCAAGTCTCCTAATCCTAAGAGAAGATTCTAGTAGGAATTTTATTCTCCTAATTAATTAATTAATATGGAATAAAATTAATTCCTATTTAATGGAATTAAATAATAAAACATCCCACTAGAGAAATATTATTGCTCTCCCCATTTAGCCACTATTTTACCAATAAAATCGAGCCTCCATGATTAAATAATATTAATCTGATTGATTGATTTACCTCCCTATGTTTAAGGTATAACTTCCGTTGATTAATTGAATTACTAACAAAATAATTAATCAACTTCTTATTCATTTCCGAAATTAGTACCACTCAGCCTTTAACCATTATCTCAGATAATCGTCTACCTACAGGGTTTAACATAATGTTCCTTTCTGAGCTCATTTCGGGGACATCGTCAATCCAGCGCACTGGAACATAATGACTGTAAATAATCTATAATAGCACATCATATAATTATTCTTACTTACCAAAATACCTCGTATGTCATCCTAATAGAATAGGAATCACTCGGTAAATCAAATAAATAAGAGATAAAAATATATGCCTATTTTATATTATATTACAGCTTAAGAGAACGCATCAATCACTGAAGGGCGAGGTTACAACAATGGTCAGTGAGTCTCATAACCTTTGCCTTCCGCGGTCCTGTTCAACACTTAACATAAGTGCTAGTGTAATCCTTCAGTCAAAGATCAACTGAATCGAGAATACACTACAGTCTTTTTCTAAGTGGGGTCTCACTGCCAGTCTAGACTGTGAACGAATAGTTTAGTCTTATAAGGAACCGATAGGTGATCTTTCTGTTCGAAACTCTTCGAACCACACAACCTCAATATAAGACATGGAGTATGTATTGCATAAATAAATAAACTGCAAACATATGTACTTTGACCGAAACATGATTGCCAGATCAAAATGGAATTGATAGAATCTGCAAAACATAGCTTTTACAGCATACCTCTAACAAGTGGTTCATTGCTACTCATGCAAAACATAACAAGTAGTTTCGTTGCTACTCGTGCAAAGTCACAATTCACATTATAAGTATTTTCATTAATACTTATATAAAGCATACCTTAAGCAGTGCGGCGTGACGGAGATGAGTGGTCAACACAAGGTCAATATCACATAATCATATATAAACTAGTCTGCAGAAACACAGACTGGCTCTGATACCAAATTGTAACACCCCACTTTGATTTTAAAGAAATTTCGGGCTTTCTAAAAATCTGAACAAGTTTTTCGAATTCATTTTCAGAATCAAGGGCATTAATCAAAATATTTTCTTGGTCCAAGTCTTATCTAAACCCACGAGGATTCATTACCGAGTTTTCACAAGGTTTTCATTAACTGATTCATACTCATAACACAATATTCAACGAATAACCAAATCTCATAAACCAAACATCAAAACATAACAAAGGTTTTGAAAACTGTTGCACATGACTAAATCATAAAGAGGTTCATAATGACCACATTATTAAAAGCGGAAGCAAAACGAAATAATAATTAGACCACCCACTCGTCCCTTGTTCCGTCACCCGGCCACTGTTTAACCTGCATCCACGAAGAGCATGTGGGGAGAGCACAAGATGAAAACGGATTGCTCACCACTATGCACATATAACACAATAATGTAAAGAAGGTATGGTCGCAGCATGAACATAAATCAATTACCTGTCACATCTCCAATCACAAACACCAATTTCATTACTTATGTGTACACACCTATCATTAGACTACCGCTGGCCTGTTCGAGGGCACGCCATGTGACTTAGCTCGTCAACCAGACAGTAGGAGTACATGTCGAAAGCACGCCATGTGACTTAGTTCGTCACGCATATCGAAAGCACTCCATGTTACTTAGTCCGATATGGCCTTTCATTAGGACTTAGGGAGACTGCCACACAAGGGCACCATATTACATCGACGGGGACAACCGTACTGACAGCCATAACAGCTCACACTGATAGTCTACATGGTTCACATGCAGACATTAATCATACCAACAAAACATTTAACAACACGTATGGCATAGGAAATTTTATAAGTAAACCCACCTGGATTCCGGATTGATGTCAGCAAACACAAATGAGACGTAAGTTGAGGCTTGACTCCTCAAATACATACATTCAGTCAAGATCCTAACATCAATACCTAACCTGACTCAATCAGAAAACACAAAACTGGCTTAATCGAACTTGATTCGACTAAGCTGTTCGTGAAGTCCTGTGGATGATGGAACTCGAGGACATAGACTCGAACATCCAAACATGGAATTTGACGTAAATATCACATAATCAATAGTTCAAACAAATCACAACCACAACAAGAAATCTGGTTTATAAATTTTGACATAATAACTACATTTTTGAAAAATAGAAAACAATATATTACATAATTAAGTTGGTCAAACTCCCAAATGGGTTAGGTTCTGAAACTTTGGTGTAAAATCCCCCTCACTGGACTTAGTAAGACCACCGAGTTTCAGCCCCAAACTCATTATACACAATTTTATAAAATTCAAATACGATATCAGCAAAAGCGAGCATAAAATTCAAGACCTAACTTAACGAATGAATTAGCACATGAAATTTTTAATGGTGCAAGTTTAGCAACTAAGGACCAACATATAAAAATTTTAGCCTTAAAAAATAAGCACACGAATTTTAAAAATTTCTACAAGTTTCTGCAGTTTATCGAATTTCAGTTAAAACTGAACCAATTCGAACTCCAAAAATTCCAATCTTTTTGAAGCATGAATTTCCACAAAAAATAAGAATCTCATCCAAAACTCAGAATTTTTCAACTACCAACCGATTTATCATGAATAAAACAAATATCGGCAGAATCAGAATTTAATTCATTTACCCTATCAAAATTAGTCCAAAAATTCTAAAACTTTTAGACATCATATAAACATGTCAAAGGCATAACATACTCAAATTGCAGCAAAATCAGAGCACAAACCAATTTATTATGCATTTAACATGTTTCTGCCTAGAAATCACATTAATTATTAAAAATAGCTACAGCCCTCCTAAAATTCTGAAATTTTTACACAAGTAAGAACACAACAGAGGGTCACTCAGTTCAAATTTCATGCAAATCAGACACTCATGCGATTTATGGTGAATTTTAACATAAAACAACCATTAAAAACTTCGACAATACATATCTCCCAATTTACAAGTCGAAACGACACAAGGCCAAAGCCATTGTGTTCGTATCGATCCTAGGTTCCCAAATCCATAGCAACTCGACATATATAATGCATTCTCATTCGACCAAATGAAACGACGAATATCACAAAAAATTATGACATCATCTATGTTAACGCATATATAGATTCAATACACGAGACATCAAGAAGCATATGAGTCGCAAGGCACGATCAATGCATCATACATACACGAAAAATAAATAACAAAGGAGCAAAACACGATACCGTTCTCAGGAAGCGCGAGAATGGTTCGAATGGATTGACGGGGCATCGGGCTCGACGGTTTCATGTGTCTCGCTGGAAAGAGAGGAGCAGCGGCTGAACGAGACCTTCACAAGGGCTGCGAGCCTGAGGATGACTGCCTGTGGAGGTAACGAACAC